CTCTCTCTCTCTCTCTCTCTCTCTCTCTCCCCATCTTTTAATCGTCTTTTCATCCGTTTCCTCCTTCATCCCTCACTTCTCTCGTTCTGGTATCCTGTATCGAGATATATATATATATATATGTACGCGATAGTTGCGGAACGAGCGCGCGCGCACGTACGTGGACACGCGTTCTCGAGCGTGTTTCGATGGCGAGAAACCGATTCCGCGTCGATTCAACGCTCGATCGAGTTTCAATTAATATAATATATATACATATATACGTAGAATTCAATCGGTGAACAGCGATAAACGATTTTATTTTATTGAAACAACTCGATGAAAGGAAGAACAAGTCAAAATATATATATATATATATGTATATATATATTAATATCGGACTTTGTATACTCGTTTAATTAAAAATTTCCTAGATATCTCACCGATCTCTAAATCGACGCTGAACCGAGTACAATGAACGGCGAATAAATAAAAACTATGGAGTTAACAAGAATTAACAAAGATTAACAAAGATTAACAACTTAATGATGTCGAAGAACCACGATCCAACGACCGATTTTTCTCTCTATATTATTGGTGGCAACACACGGTTCCGTTTTCCAACGCGAGAGAAACGCGCGTACCATTTATTCCGCACGCATACGCGCGCATTTACATGTTATAATATATATGTATATTTATATATATATGTGTGTATAGTATATATATATATACATATATATTATATAACAAGATGGCAAAAATGTTCCTCCGATATTTTTTTTTTTTCTTTTTATTTTCTCGCGAATGGAGAACATCTCTCTTTCTTCACCGTTCCCTCTTCCGCCCCTGTCACGTTCACCCCCTCCCCCATTTTTCTTCAAAAAACGTGTATCTCAATCTTCTCATATTCTTTCCTAGATAATCTTGTTCATTTATATTTATATATAATATATATAATCGATTTATACTCTCGTAAAGTCGTATTTAATAATTAATTAATTAATTAATTAATAGAGGATGTACGAACGGTGTAAGAAAGATTTTTTTTTTCGTGTGTTATCTTTTTTTTTTTTGTTTCTTTTCTACCCTTCCTTCTTTCTCTCCTCCTCCGTCCTCTTCTCGTCCCTGCCCCATTTTTTTTTTTTTTTTTTTGCTCTCTTCCTATCCCTTATTCCCTTCTTTGTCTCTTGAACGAAAGTGAACCCGACGAAAAAATCGTTCGATCGCAGATCACCTAAGTTCCTCGTGTTTCTAACAACGTCCGCCGAGATATAATATGTTAATATCTACTTCACTCTGCGCGGCTACTTTCGTTTCTTTATTCCCCTCCTCCGTACCGTCTCCTTTCTTTTATTATTCGTTCGTTTTCTTCCTCTCCATCGACGAACGCCGGAAGTGTGGATCGATCCTTTCGTACACGGCGATCCAATGTACACCGAGCTACGCGAACGAATCTCACTCTTTCATTCCCTCTTTTCATTCATTCTCCTCTCCACGATCTTCTTTCCACGATCCTTTGCATTTTTTTTTTTTTTTAACTCGATTCGAATTTCATCTCCTTTGTTTTATCCATTTCTATTTTTCTCTTCGTCTTGGTCTCACGTTCGACGTAGCTCGAGGATTCGAGATCGACTTGTAAAACGAAACGTACGCGAGGTTGGCGGATCGTGAGTCGCTGCGCCGATTCACGCATCGCGCCAGTCGCGATATTTCTTCCTTACGACGATGAGGTAACAATGTTTAAAGATCGCTCTTCTCTCCCTCTTGGACATGTCGCGCGTAATCTCTATACGTGTATGTTTGTATGTGTGTACAACGCGAGCGTATGCACCGATATTAATCTCGAGCGAGAAGCTTCCTTTTTTTTTTTTTTCCTTTTTTTGCTGATCGAAAGCCTATAGATCCGAGCTTGCTCGCTTCGAGCATATTCTAGACGTAAGCGTACGTACCGTATCGTTTATAATCATAATATAACATATAAACGCTTTCATTAATTACATAAACAAGAGTGTTTTCATGAAATCATTTTTTAAACAACGTTATTCGATATATTAATATTATATTTCTCGTGAATTAAATTAAAATGCCATTCGAACTATGCAACGATACAGCAGGTACACTTGGACAAATTCTCGTACGCGCGTGTGTGTTTATGTATTCATACTTGTTTTACAAGAGATAG